TGCTTTATTATTTCTATATATTTTTTTGTCTGTACATTATATGTCTGGACGAAAGACTGCTTTGAATGCATTACTTCCAAGGGCAGAGTTCAGTCTCCCATAAAAAATAGAAAGAGAACCTACAGCGGAGAAAGAAAATATATAAAAATAATAATTGAAGGGTTTGACCATAAGCTATCTTCTATACTTTAAAGCGGCACCAAGAGCTTATCAAAGCTCCCTTTCTTGTTACATTCTGTTCATGCTATGACAGTTTATACTGTCCAGGATTTATTAGAATTTACAGAAGAAGTTGGGCCTTGTGGTAGCCTTTCTTGCAAATGTAAAGCTTAGCGTAAGTTCAATCAAGAAGAATACACATTCATTCACATTTCTCTCTCCCTCTTCTCCAGCTTTCTTCATAATCAGCTGACTGGTGTTAATCTTTCAGTTAATAAAACAGATTTTCCCATAAGCTTCATCAGCTAATCATATCGTTGCTGTCAAACTTGAACATATTCTCCTCTCTGTTACCATCAACTTCAGACAAAACATTTGATTTAACACTACATTATAGTTAAAGCACAATTTATTCTGCAATGTATTTTATTATAAATGTGTTTCTATTCTCATGACATAAACTGGAGGATACAAGTTTTACATAACCAGTACTGAAAATCCAAGACAGAAAATGTCAATGTAGCAATTTAGATACCAATTCCATTGTGACAAGGCCACTGCATAAAAGCTCTAAATATTTAAATGTTTTCACTATTAAAGCTACAGGTTTTTAGTTTCATTGAAATTAAATTGCATTTAAATGTGAATGCTTTCAGAACCTGTACACCTTAATCTAATTGATTAAATTATTGTAATATATATCTTGAAATCACTTTGTAAAAACTTGTGACCTTGAAGTAAGTCAATGTTATAAAAAAGTTATTTTTCCTTAACGAGCACCTTGCTATGACTGTATTATACAGGTAAGGGTCTTTTTCTGCCTGTCCTGTTTGAATCAAACCATGTACCATTCACATCAAAATGAACGTAAAAAAAAAAAATTTTGGCTTTCAAAGCTCTAAGTGATTTCAGTCCAAATTGCACTTTGAGTACAAACTTCAGTCTAAACTTTCTTCAAAGAAACAACGTTGGCCCTGACAGCATGTAACAGCCTGACCTTCTGTACTTTCCAAATATCAAAAGACTCATTTCAACACCCATTCATTCACTTTCACACATTAATATAACACATTCCCTGGTACAATAGGCCAACATACAAACACACGCAGATGGCAGGCGCTGGGACCAATCCAATGTGTGTGTGAGTGTGTGTGTGTCTGTGACTGTGGCTGTAAGAGGTTGACAGGCAGTGTGTCTGTGATTGTATGTCCAGTCCAATTCTGTCTATGCCTGCCTGTGGTAGGAGAGACAACATAAAAAGTATACACATGGGGGTGTGGGACTTTGTGAGTCTATTTAAGTGTGTGTGTGTTCAAACAGGGCAACGCATGCAAAATGTGTATTTATGTGTTTAAGAGTAAGAACGTCTGTGTGCAAAGGCAGGGACAGAAACAGGTTTTACTCAGTTACTCAGTATTTCTGGCACGCTGATAAAGCTCTTGAAGCCATCAGAGTGAATAATATCCAACAGACCGGGAAGGCCTGCTCAGATTCTCCAGCCAGCCCTCTCTGGTTTGATAAGATTGTGTTAGCCACCACCTCGCAGCGCCTCAGACTTCAAACAGTTACATATTGCCCTGGAAATTGTTGCAGGGAGCGCGTCAAGCACATAAATTCATTTCTGATCATACATCTAGCTCAATTTATTTATAGCATTGCCAGCCAGGAAGCCAGGAAGCAAGGATGAAGCAGGGTATAGGAGGGACAGTTGGAGTGAAATAAGAGAGATGGAGAGATGGAGAGTGAGATGTATGAAGGAAAGAGGAGTAGTTTTACACATGAAAGCTCTCCACTCTCCTCTTCTCCTTTCCAATCCAAGTTTTCCTCCTGGTCATTCCACACTCTCACCCCCTGTCATCATCTCAGGTCATAGCTGGGCACCATGTGCACACACAGAAGCCAAAGCAACATGCAAAATAATAGGATATTCAATGAGTTTGTATCTGAGGTGTCCAAATGCTAACACCAGAAGGAAAAAGCATCTCCATCTACAGCAGCTATGGTAACATTTGCTACAGCAGATTCTTTGCTGCTCTTTGTGTAATTTCAGACTCATCAGCCAGATGAGTCTAGCAGCTTGATCACACTGCTCTTGCTCTCCAAATAGAGGGCCCTTTATGGGGGAAAAAAGGCAAAGAATCTTTGTGCCTCAACTGGTTGCACT